GGCGGCCCGCGCGATGGAAACGATACCCCCCTACGGCCACAAGAAGAGACAGAAGGAATAAGAGGAAGGTGGCGCCCAAGAGGACGTCACATGGTGTGGTCCTCCGGTAGACACTTAATCAACTCTTCAAACTCTTGGTCTGTGAATGTAATTAGGGTGTTGGGGTATTGCTCGCTGGGCTTGGTGTGACGTCACACTGCACACCCATGTGTCCAGCAAATACTTGCACACTTGGTCAGCCCAGTTTTGCAAAGTAAACTGCCTGCTGCACTTGGTCAATTCCAACCTTCAGAGTGTGAGTAGTTGACCATTACTTCTTGTGTTATTATTCTGTGCTGGCTACTTGAAGGGGTAACATGTCTGCCTCTCGATTGGATCTTCCACGTTCTCCGGAACCCACCACCTGCGCCGTGTCGCCCAGCGACTGCGACGCGATCGAGGCCGCCATAGCGTTCTCATGACGGTCAACCTAATCGCACAAGACGTACATGTGAGCCACATACTCGTGTCGTGTCGTGTCATTTCGTACCCAAAGGCGAGGCCGCCGAGGAGCTGCAGTGGGAGGAAGAGGGCGGTGGTGGTGTTGTCGGAGAGGAAGGTGGTGCCGAGCATGCGGAGGCCGCAGAGGACCATCGAGGCGACAATCACCGCGCGCGATCCGTGTGGCCGCTCCAGAACATGACGGGATCTCGGCCAGGGTTTGCGCGATGGTCTCGCCTAACCCTAAGTCTTTACACGATTTCATTTGCAATCTTTGTCTGTTTCAAACATGTCTTTCCAAAACAAGACTTCATTTGCAACCTTTTATGTTTCAGTGTAAAACATAACAACCCAGGCCAGGCAACAAGGTTATGGGGGCGGACCAGAGCACCGTAGGGGGTGGCGAGGGGGTGGCAGGGAGCACCCACCTGAACGTGGAGCAGCTGGAATGCATAGTGGTGGCGTTCAAGGAGAAGAGCAAGAACGGCAAACCCATAACGTGTAAGGGCTTCATCAAGGTCATGAAGAAGGTCACCGCCAAGTATCCAACCATGGACTTCAGCCCGGAGCGCCTAAGCTTCTTCTTCTCTCTCTTCGACGTAGACCATGACGGCCGAAGTACTTACTTCCCCCCCCCCATCCAATGAGTGCCATACTACTGCACTCCTTGATCTCTGAACACTTGTTCTACGCCATGTTCTGCGACTCCAGTCTCGTTGAATGAGCTGCTGTCGGGTATTTCCATCATCTCCAAGGGCAGTCTAGAGGAGAAGGCCAATAGTACGTGACCAGTCTCTTCTGCAAGCCTTCGGCGAGGCGCTGACTATCCCCCTCCCCCATGTGCAGTGGTCTTTATGGCCGTGGACACGGACCGTAGTGGTTTCCTCTCGAAATG